GACTAACACCATTTGATAGAAGGAAATGAATACACTGTGCAATTTCAATTAACTTGTCAACGTCGCGAAATGGTTTACATAAGTTGGGAAATTCAATTCACATCTGGCGAGGTCCTTGAGTGAAAGAAACGATCTTTTATAAAGCTTAATGGGCGCTGGGGCCTTCGGGGCAAGTTAAGAGTTGTCATCGCCTTCTCGCCACGTTCCATCGACCCGACGTGACTCCGTTGCAAATTTACTGGATTTTGGTTTGTGTAATTTGCTTTTTGGGATCGATTAGCAAATATAAAAAGTCAATTGTATTAAAATGTCAATTATGTGTTCAACGCGCGGACGTTTCCAATATATAACGTACGTAAACGAAACGTCCTGCTAAGGAATGTTTCGTATAATAAACTCGAGATACAGTACAATTACCGCCTTTTGGATACCACCCTGTTAACTTTATGCTATACCAAACACTGTTGTATAAAATGTTTCACAAATATGATGTCATTCTTAATCTTCCGTTGGGGTAGTAGTTAAGCTCAAGTAAGTTAATATAAAAAGCAAGTTTAACTTTAATTAAAAAATATTACTTGAAGGTAGCCGAACTTTTACACTATGTCTATAAATGGCATGTAGGTAGAGAGGAAGATGTTGTTGAACTCGTTAATTTTTCTCTTTAAAGGCCGCTAGACTTTCGGAGTTTGGGTCAGAATAATTTAACAAAGCATCTAGAATCAAAGGATCTACAGTGGAATTGAAAGTTAAACATTATGATAGAACAATTTTTTACTCGTACTTTCAGCATACGAAATTTGTAATGTTAGCAAATTTTTGATAGAAGGAGAGCCTAACTAGCAGGCAAAAACATTTCGATTCTTGTGGTTGTTAGTACAGATTGACAAATCTATACGTGCGTAGTACTAGCACACAAAACCAGTTACTTCTTCCTCGTCTACGCTAGCGAAACCAACACAACCCATGCACATAACATACACTTGCCTCCAAGAGTGTTCTCGCCGCCCCGAGCCACCGATTAATACAGTCGACGACCAGGTAGGATGACTTTACTATCGTACTATATAATAAATATATTACTTCGTTTCATTAAAATTCAGACCCAGAGACCATGAGAATCATATAAAACATCGAAAACTAGTGTGAAAGTTTATCAGTGAGGTAAGAACTTTACTATTGGCCAAAGCCGTGAGTATTAGAAATTATACCATCGACATATTTTCGACATGTGAGCACATGCTTATAAATCGCATAATAACTTGAAATATTATTTACTATGTATAACTTATTTCCCATTACAGAGCAGGCAATAGGTTTACTCGCTCCGATTTCGACTGTCAATGCTATTGATTCAAAATAACACACCTATATAGTTACGCCCACTCAAGTAGCGTGCGGCATACAAAGTAACCAATAAAATTTATGAGGTGTCAGGGTCGAGACAACTCATTCTATTTGAAGTAGAACAAAAAGCCAAATTTGGAGCACGCGGCAAAATTGCGTGCCATGAATGAAACTTTTTCACGTTAGCGTCACTCGAGAAGGAAGAATATCGTCTTATTATTGTCTACATCTTCGTTAGTGAAGTGTTTTTGTTACAACTTTTTTTAATTTTATTTTAAATAATCATTCTCTGTTATTTAATATTCGAATGTGCCAAAATGTCACATTAACTTTAGGGAACAGCAGTTAGAGACCAAATATACTTATTTCGATAAATATCTTCATGCGCCATAAATTTTAAAAATATTTTTCATGTTAAAAGTTGGCAAATGAGCAGGCGGTTCAACGTTTTTCATAATAAAATTATATACGAACACTCGTATTATAAACTACAGAAGAAAGCAGTGTCAGCTAGTGATAAATATCTTCAATGATTTTGTAAAGTTCAATTAAGTTACTTGTAGTGAGCTTGGGCACATTAATATATATTACAGAGCTTATAACCACACACAACTTTTTGCGCATACTTAAGCATGACCCATATAGGTGCTGGAATCTGAAATTATAGATGCAATATATTAAAGAGTTGTATATAGATTGTGTGAGAAAACTAAAATATGCGAGACTATTTTATCATCACATCACGGTATCATCACAAGAGGTCGTCATTATAAAATCTAAAAGGAGTAAAGTTAAAATGTGCTGTTTAGATATGTGTTTTACAGTGGAGAAACGTGATTTGGTTTGGATACTGCTATGCAATATTCTCACACGGAACAATTATTTGTGCAACGAACATATAATTAAATCAATACTTTTATCTAAGCATTGTATAACAATGTCTAGATATATTTATGCATCCAACATTACTTAAAAACTTAAATGTGACCAATATTTGCCGTGATCGTTTTTTTTTTTAATTATGGATGAATTAAAGTGACAGAATGTCTTCTTACAAGGAACGTGAATAGCATGCAAATAAGTAAAAGAATAAATAATTAAAAACTTTTCAATAAAATGTAAAAAAAGAAACGAAACCATATGCTATACAACTTATATGATTTTAAAATTTCCACTAACGTCTATTCATCGTCATTATATGAATGTTATGTTTGCATCGTGTAAAATCTAATCTCATCTTGAATAACTGTAAAAAATTACGACGAACGTATACAGTTGAAAGTCTACCGATAACTAGATTTCATGTACCTATTATACGTATCTCATTTTCACTCGTATCTCTAGTTGTATGAGTATTCATACTCTACAGGCTTCCCTTCGACACTAAAATGTTAATTATATCTTTATTCCTACTGTATGCCATAAATCTCGCAGCTAAAATTAAAGACGTGATGTTTTGAGGTGGTCACTCACACAGATCTACTACGCCCATACCACTTCTACTTATTTATTCTATATGATTAAGTGACCATAAGCTGAAAGAAATCACCATTAAAATGTTTAAAGTCTTTCTCCACCATTTTAATCAAAGTACAGCATTGTTAAAAAAGAGATCTCATAAGTGAGTTAGAAATTTAGCCTTTGATATGAATGTTCAGAGACGGAATATAAAGTATTAAAAAACGAATTCAATTTCGCTGTCGTCTGCACCTTGCGTCGAGATAAGATGTTATCAAACTTGGGAATTTAATAATGGAGTTCGCTTAGAAAGCTAAGCTCAGTCTCTGATTGAAATGATAAACGTCTCAGACCAACCCTTTCCAAAATTGAAATTTGAAAGCTTCATATTCATATATTTCATGGTTATGTAATAAATATATAATATAAATTCTATAACCACGCAAAATACAAAATTTTAGGAAAAATGTGAAATGACATATGAATGCAACTGGTTACCAGTGAGTTCTATATTCAAAAATTATAAGAAGTTTTCATTGCCAATGTTTCGCACTGGCCAGTTCTAAGAACTATCAGCGTGACCCTAGTAGCAAAACAAGGTCAATCTTATATGAGATAAGCTGGGAGTAAGCAAGAATTACGCTAAACGTTGTTTCAGTTGCTGTTATTCTACAGGAAGGCGATAAAACTCAAGTTCTGAATCATAAAGTTGAAAGCAGCAACTTCTAAAATTTAATCCGCTGATAGCTCTACTTTCTCATATTATACAAGTGGATTTCATTCCCCAGAGACGAATATACGATGCCGATGCGACCTACATACAAAATGGAACTGCCGCTAAAATCTCTCTCGGAAGACTGCATAATACTTTTCTGCGTTACATTTTTATGCATTAACGCTTTATGGTTGTCTTTTTAACATTTACTTAACGACCAACGTTAGTAGAAGCAAAGAATGGACGTTAAAGTAATTTTAAAGGACCGTTGACATTGCATTTACTTTAATTTTGCCCACGTCTGCTGTGGTAGGGCCACGCAACAGTCTTCGGCAGGTCCGTCCGGAGAAGCACCACGAATTCTTAAGAGAACGGCGTGAAGAGAAAGTATTATCGTTTATTTTTATTTTAGATACCGACGTACGAACCCTTTACAAGTAGTCTCATTTAGTAATATGTAATCGCGTAAAAACAAGAAAAAAAAACTGCCATTCTATTCCCTAAAAACCAGAACTTGTTGACAATGCGGTAGTCATTCATAAATGCGTCGTAGACTTTTGAAACGAACTATTGTGCGTGTTAGTTAGTGTTAGTTATGAATAAACGCGCGTAAAATAAATGAGTTGCCCATAAATCACGCACTTTTTGAGATAAGTTCAAAGGAATGTATAATTAATTACGAGTGAAGTTAAATATTTATAATTTTTTATATAACATTATTTATGTTTAGAATTTAATAAAAAAATGGATACACTTAAAAAGCCTACCTGTATAATACCGCTATCGATATATTGTAATTGAACATAAGATTCACTACGGGTCCAAAGAAGAGGATAAAATTGTTGGGCAAGTACCGTTTTTTTTTTTTTATGCGAAAAGTTGCCAAACGAGCAGACGGGTCACCTGATGTTAAGTGAATACTGCCGCCCATGGACATCTGCTACACCCAAGGGTTTGCAGATGCGTTGACAACCTTTTTGAAAATTGGGCTCCGACTACCTCACTCACCACACGAAACGCGAAAGTATTTTTCTTACTTCCACTTTACGCTGGTCTTCTGTGAGGTCGTGGTACTTATCCGGACGGGCCTGCCCATTTGTGCAACATCCAAGGCTGCTGCGTGGCCCTACCACCGTGGCTAAATAAATAGGTTCTTTGTCCAGGAAATTTCCAGTAAAATACAATGCATTTACGACAAAAACCCAAGGAAATGTGCTTTACACATGCATTAAAAATTTTTTTTCGGCGGTAGGTGAATAAAAAGTACAGACGTGTTTTTCATAGCTCTTTACATTTTAATTAATTATTGTTGCGATTATTAGTCTGTTTATGGCTCATATTAGTTCTATTAAGTTTATATAAGTGTTACTTACAATAATAGTGCATTATATGTAACAACTACAAAGAATAATCACCACCTGCCAGCTCATCACTAGCACTACACTTTTAATTAAACAATCACAAAACATCTTGCATCAATATGTCAAATTTGTCAGAGATAATCAACACCCAAAACAAGCTTGAAGAAAGTATCTCGAAGAGATTTGATGATCTCCAAGCTCAAATCACTAATGCCGGGTCCTCAAAAGATACGGTAGCGAAGGTTGCTGAAGAGCTCCGGAACTTCAGGGAGCTAATTTTTGGCATTCTCAGTCTTCTTCGCCAACAAATAAGGGAGTGTGCCAAGCAAGTGGATGACATTGACACAAGGAGTCGCAGGAAAGCCCTTATTGTAACAGGTTTACCTGAGAAGAACAATGAAGATTGCACCCAATTACTTATCGAGGTGTTCAATAAAAAGTTGGGGCTCAACGACATGTCCAAGTCATCCTTCAAGGTGTGTCATAGACTAGGTGCACCCAGTAAAGAGCACCACCGACCCGTCTTGGTCAGGTTCACCAGCATGGACTCTAGAATGTTTGTTTGGAAGGCTAAAACAAAGCTGAAGGGCTCCCCAATAGCCCTGAAGGAGTTCTTGACGAGAGTAAGGCAAGCAGTCTTCACCAAAGCTCGTCTTCATTTCGGAATGCGCTCTGTCTGGACACAGGGTGGTGTTATATTCATTAAAACTGCTTGCGGGAGCAACTATAAAGTCACCACAGAAGAAGAGCTGGTCCCTCTCATCGTCAAGTACCCGAAGTCACTGGGCAAGTCTTCTTCAAAGGATAACAACTCGGGTAGTAGATCTTAAAAAAAAAAAAAGAAAAAAGTTTTTACCACAAAGTTAAAGTTTCTTTCTCCTTTTTTTTTGCTCTTATTATGTTTACGTTTATTCCTTGTACTTAGTACATTAGTATTATAACTTTAATTATTTTCGTAAACTTACCTATTCTAACTTAATATTGTTTTTAGTGCGACATATTAGACACTTAGGTTCATTTATTTCATGTGTAGCTTGGTAGTTTTTGTTTTTTTTTTTAATCATTTTTCCTCGTTATTATGGTTCCTGTTTTAGTCATATTTTATAAACTTTATTTTTTGTTTTTTTACTAATTTTGTCTTTATATGTTAACTAGTGTAGGTAATTATAAATCACATATTTTCTTCCTATTGCTTTGTTTGACGTACGCTTGTATTACGTTTGACGTTCATTCATGTCATTGTCGCTTTATAAACAATAACATTGTATGACATTTTGAATGCGTTCCGTTTCAGTAGTTTCCGTAATTAAGGAGTTCTCATTTATTTTAATATTTTTAAAGTTAAATTTTTTTTATATAACTGTGCTTTGTTTAATATTTCTTCCGATTTGGTGTCTTTTGGTATTATTATCATTCGTGCTTGTGCGCTGGCGGGTGGTGCAGAGATTGATCTTGCTCCATCAAACATTGCACTTTTTATTGCATTACTTTAAGTAGTTATTATTTTTTTTTATTACTAAATTATTTAACTATCCGTATATTATATATATTTTATTATGTCTATTGATTCTGACGATGACTTGTATTTTCTGCTGCCACGAATCTGTTACTTCTATTGCCGATGAGAGTTTTGACTCATCATGCGGCTCACTTAGAGACTTTTTAAATGATAAATTTTCGTTAAATCACTGTAACTTTCTAAACATTTGTCACATAAATGCGCAAAGTATTCCCAGCCACTTTAGCGATTTGTGTGATGCGTTCTCTGAATGTAACATGCATGCCATCCTGATTTCTGAGAGCTGGCTCAAACCTCATCTTCATTCTACCATGTATCCCCTTCCTGGTTTTATTCTTCTACGAAATGACCGGATAGGTAAAGGGGGAGGGGGCGTTGCCTTATATCTGAGAGGTAATCTCTCGTATAAGGTACTGGCCTCCTCATCCCAGAACTACACCGCTTCTGCCGAGTTTCTTTTTCTGGAGGTAACGATTAAGGGTGCTAAGATTATTATAGCTGTTGTTTACTGTCCCCCAAATGCAGATTATTTCACCGACTTTGAATTGGTTCTTGAATCTTTGGGTTCTGAGTATGCTCACCACGTCATCATGGGAGATTTTAATACCAATCTCCTGGCACCTAATTCTCCTCGTACCCTTAAACTCCTTCACATAGTTGAGTCAAGCTGTTTTCATATTTTACCGCTCCAAGCTACCCACCATAATGTCTCCGGTGAAGACACTTGGCTTGACCTGATCCTCTCTTCCAATCCTTCCATGGTTTCCTTTCATGGACAACATCCAGCGATTGGATTTTCCCATCATGACTTAATTTTCCTGTCTTACATCCTAAAGCCTCCTAAACCTAAGCCTAAGGTTTTGCACGTGCGTTCCTTCGCGAGAATGGACATTGAGAAACTTTGCAAGGATGCGGATAAAATAGATTGGGAACCTTTGGTGGGGAACAACACAATAGATAGTAAGGTACACTTTCTTAACACGTCAATAACAAATTTGTATGATGTTCACGCGCCTCATAAGAAAATTAAATTAAGGCACACTCCTGCACCCTGGATGACGGAGGGTATACGGATGGCTATGAGACGCAGAGATCGAGCCTTTCGTAAATTCAAAAAACAACGTTCTGAAGAGAATTGGTCCCTCTACAAGTTAGCCAGAAATCGGTGTAATCAGATGGTACGCAACGCTAAACGCCGTCACATCCTCGATAATATTTCTTCATCTACACCTGCCGATATCTGGAAGTTCCTTGGGACTCTTGGTATCGGTAAGTCGCGTTTTCCAAACCTTCCTACCTCAATCACATTAGATGATTTAAATCAACATTTCTCTACCACTTCATCGATAGATCATCTAACGATTAATAAGACGATTTCCTATATAAATGGTTTGACGCGCCCTGATATTGGTTCGTTTAATTTTTCTCCAGTTTCTTCCGAAGAAATCAAAAAAAAAACTATCCTTTCTATCAAATCCAATGCTCTTGGCTGCGATAAAATCGGCCGACGCATGATAGTCCCTATCCTTGATCAGCTTCTCCCTGCGATTACTCATATCATAAATTTTTCATTGGATACTGGATCCTTTCCTTCCTTGTGGTGTAACGCTCTTGTGCGTCCACTGCCGAAATGCCCTAATCCTTCACTTCTCGCTCATTATCGACCTATCTCTATACTACCCTTCCTTTCTAAGGTGCTTGAGTCCTGCGTTCTCAAGCAATTTTCTCTCTTTGTTCTTAGTAATAAATTGATAAGTCCTTTACAATCTGGATTTAGACCTGGCCACAGTACCACCACAGCCCTCCTTAAAGTGACTGGCGATATTAGGACAGGTATGGAAAATACAGAAGTTACTGTCATGGTTTTAATAGATTTTTCGAATGCCTTTAATGCCGTCAGTCACGACATCCTATTAGCAATCCTGTCTTATTTAATGGTTTCCGAGGAAGCACTGGAATGGTTTTCATCATATCTTCGAGGGCGCCAGCAGGCAGTCACTATTGATGAATTGTCATCTAGCTGGCTCAATGTTGAAAGTGGTGTCCCTCAAGGCGGTATTCTCTCTCCTATTTTATTTTCTGTTTTTATTAATTTCATCACTCTCGAACTTCAATGTGCGTATCATCTTTACGCCGATGATCTGCAGCTGTACGCTCAGGCCACCATTGATAGGCTCCCAGAAATAATCAATATTATAAACCAGGACTTAGCCGCTATTAAAAAGTGGTCAGACAGGTTTGGTTTAACCGTGAATCCAGCCAAGTGTCAAGCCACCGTAGTCGGGAGCTCCCGTATCATAGGTAAAGTGGATCTGAGTAAACTCCCGCATATAACTTTCAACAGTTCTCGCATACCTATCAGTCGTAATGTGAAAAATCTCGGCTTGCACATTGACATGACGCTCAGCTGGAATGCTCAGGTAGGTAGCGTCTGTCAAAAAGTCTCAGGGGTCCTACGGTGTCTATATCGGCTCAAAAATTTCTTGCCGGCTAAAACGAAGGAATTGCTCGTGCAGGCCTTAATTTTCCCATTAATCGACTATGGTGACGTGTGCTACTTCGACCTGAATGCAGATCAACTCAATAAACTCGACCGACTTCTGAATAACTGCATTCGATTCGTTTTCAATCTTCGCAAGTATGACCATGTATCTACTTACCGTGCTCAACTTCAGTGGCTACCCATACGTCAACGACGCTCTCTAAGAGCACTGACTACTCTATACTCTTTCCTGAACTCTTCTTCTTTTCCGACTTACTTATCCCATCATTTCCAATATCTATGTGCCGTTAGCAATAAAAACCTTCGCTCCTCGCATAATCGTCTTCTCGTATGTCCTCCTCACCGTTCTGATTTCATGCATTCTTCCTTCTTTATCCAGTCTATCCTTCTGTGGAATGAGCTACCTCTCAAAATCAGGTTGGCTAAAAGTCGCTTTGTATTTAAAAAAAAAGCACGTGAGCACATCCTCAAAAACTTGTCGGCAGGTCAACTCCATCGTTAATTGTCAGAATTTATTTATGTATATGTATATATGTATTTATAATTGTCTGTATACATTTATTTATGTATGTATATATGATTTTATGCATATATTTAGAAAGATATTTATGTATTAGTATGTATGTACATACACCTGGTAGTATTTATTATATATATACTATAATTAACATGTGTATATACTTTCATTTACAACAGTTTATATTTTAACAGTGTTTTCTTTTTATTTATTTCTTTTGACATCTTTCTGTGCACCTACCGAATCTTCTCTGTACCACCCCCAAGGTTGACTGGGAGATAATGCCTGTGGCATTAAGTCCGCCTCTGTACAGCTTGTGCATAAAGTATAAATAAATAAATAAATAAATAAATAAAATGTAACATCCCTATACAACTCGCGCCACAGCGTCGTATTACAAGCCTCTTCTTCTAACAGTATGTTTTGTGTCTTTTAAATTCATTCAACCCATTCATATGCTTTGTGACCTTTACAAATGAACTTTACGTTACGCTTTTATAGGTAAGGGTGTTCTAAAATTCTTTGTTTTGGAAAATTTAATAACTGTAAATATTTATGTTTAAAGAATTTAAATGTTTAATACAACTTTAAAAAGTTATCCCCTATATGTGTGTTCATTTATTGTCGCGATGGTAACGACACGCTGTATAACTGTTTATTATTTTTAACCTTTTTAAACATAACCAACACCATTGTGTCACACCACATCGGGGCTATTTCTTCGTATTACCAGGAAAATAAAAGCCAATAATGTTCACAGCATTGAAGCCTTGCGAATGCTTTTGCACGTGCAATTTCAAACAGCGTCGTTAAGCACCAATTTACTCTGAATCACGTTCGCGTGAAATTTCACTCGAGATCTCTCGTCGCCTTCCTATAAAGCGCCCTCCACGAAAATAAGGTACTCATATTCGTAACACTCCTTGTAACAAAATCGCACTAGTTATGTTTAAGATATCACCGACGAGATTCATCCAACAACTATGTGATTGGCTATGAACGCGTAGAGAGTAAATAAACTGTTTACTAAGTTCGTTCGTTTCGTTACAAACTGCCGACCACGGGCCACTTAAAAGACCATAAAATGTAAAACTTGCAAATAACTGAATTAAAAATAAGCGCTATGTAATTCACCTAAAATCGGGACATTCATAAATTTAGAATAACCACAATAAAGGACTAGTTACCAGTAGTTAAAAGCCGTGTTAAATTATTGGAATTGTAATCGTGAATTGACAATTAGGTCATGACAGAATATAAACATATTATAAATGTTTAATTTAAAAAA